TTCAGCAAAATCCCGGTTCCGGTTATCCAAACCCGAACCGGGGAATCAAGATGGAGGAGGTTTCTTCGAGCGAGGAAGAGATAAAGAGCTCGAGAGACGATCGGGAGAAGTCGTACAGAGGAGTTAGACGCCGGCCATGGGGGAAATTCGCGGCGGAGATAAGGGATTCGACCCGAAACGGCGTTCGCGTTTGGCTCGGCACGTTCGATAACGCGGAGGACGCCGCCATGGCGTACGACCAGGCGGCGTTTGCCATGAGAGGGTCGTCGGCGATACTGAATTTTCCGGCGGAGAGAGTTCAAGAATCGCTCAAGGAAATGGGGTGCAGCTACGAGGAAGGGTCTTCTCCGGTGGTGGCGTTGAAGAGGAAGCACTCAATGCGGCGGAGGAACAATGGCCGGAAAATAAAAGAGACGGATTCCGATCACCGGAGAAACGTGGTTGTGTTCGAGGATTTGGGGGAAGAGTATCTTGAGGAGCTTTTGGGTAGTTCTCAAAGTATTGGGCCTTCGTAAAATATTTAAGAACTTATGGGGCGGATATTTGTTATTAGGAAGAACCCCTGAGTTTTTAAGGGTTTTTAATTTCACCCCCAATATTCGTGAATGTGTTTTGTAATATAGCAATGCAAAAAAAAAAAAGACTAGTAAGAGCAAATTAGATGAAATTCCATTGATTTTGGAACTATTAATTATGTGAAATATTACGATAAAAATATTATATTGTTTTACGGAGTTTTTTTATGGTTACAATACATGGTGTTGTCGTGTATTTATGTAAATAAAATACGATGTTACGTTTTCGTATACTATGTTTGGAACGTCAGGTGACGCTATTGGAATTTATTATGCGGTCTAAAATCTTACGGATTTTTTTTGGGCTTTTCCATAAATAAAAATTAAATAGAAATAATAATGAAAATATTCTAACGTAAAATAAAAAAGGTGACTTGATTTGTTCATGCGAGTAGGTGGCAACCTCTAGATTTTTTGTCCATTTCCTATTTATTTCTGTTTTATTTTGTTTCAACTTTTTTAGTGTTCAACTAAAAATAATTATATGTCCGAATCTAAAATATTAATTTTAAAAATAAAATATATTAGTAAAAATCTAATTGAATAAAATAAAGTATCTATAAAATAAAAATCTAATTAAATATAATCTAATCATATAAAACAAATACTATTTCTAAAATAATAGAATACAAACATTATGGAATTACTATTACAAAGCCTTTCTCAATGGATAAATAACAGAGGAATATTTTAATATTATGTTGATCTCAACATAACTTTTTCATTATTATAAGTTTATCCTTTGAATGGAATATATAATATTTACTGAATTATATGGATCTTTTGAACGAAAAAAAAACCCATCAAAAACAACTTTTTTTCGGCTTAAATAATTTTAATTTAATTTGAATGCGTAATTATCCATTAATGGAGGGCTCAATATCCGTAACATCATTTACGAAGAACATCAAATAAGCACTGAAAGAGTTTCCCAAAAATCGAATTAGACACGTGTTTTTCAATTTTGGCAAGTGGCATGGAGAAAACAAAGAAAAGGAGGCGAAAAAGGATTTTGTTTTAAGCATGTGGGCCAATTATTATTATTATTATTTTAATTATTGTGTAATATTAACTTCTATGATAATATAACAACAAAAACTAAAAAAATGTTGACGTTGATTTGATGGCTTATAAAGACCGGTTAAATGAACTTGGTCACTTGGTAAGTGCTTTTCAATATAAAATAAAATAAAATAAAATAAAACATTGTATTCATTATCAACTCATGGACATCATTAATGGAAATATTTTATTGTGCGATTCGATTAATATCGAATGAATTTTTTTTAGCTAATTGCTTAGAATGACAAGAGAGTTTCTCTATTTAGTTATAAAATGAAAAAGGAAAAAATCCATAAAAATTTCTGAATTTGTAAAACGGTGAAAAATAAATTATTAAACTTTTTGTTTGATAAATTTATTTCTAAACTTGCAAAATGTGTAATTATAATTCCGGAATATTTTTATTGGTGTCAGAAGAAAATTTGATAACGTTGATTCAAAAATAATTTTGAGAATTATAATGATATATTTTACAAGTTTGATAATTATAATGACATATTTTGAAAGTTTGAGGATAAATTTGTTAGAAGAAAAATTTATAAATTTATTTTTTATCATTTTATAAATTCAGGAATTTTTATGGGTTTATCCTAAAAGATTTGAATAAAACACTCCATTCCGTTTTACAGAAACGCGATTTTCATTTGGCAGCTAATGTTTGATAGCTTTCATTAGACAAAAAATTGTTTAATTTGGAATTTCCAATTTATCTTGTAACGTCATGATATATAATTTAATTTAACCAAAACTAATACCATTTTTTTTACAGAACAATTCGAAGAAGTCATTTCCTTATTAGATTCTAGGAAATTTACGTATATAACAATTCGAAAATGTACATAAAATGGATTTAAACATAATAATAATAATAATAATAATAATAATAATAATAATAATAATAATAATAATAATATATATATATATATGTATATGTATATCCAAATATAATTATTTATTTCGTAAAGGTTGATATATGTTGTCTCGTGTATATATGGGACCAACATGAAAATTGAAAAGCTGAAAGCCTGAAACTGTGTGGGTGTATACATATGTATATTGATAAACCTATATTGTTAGAGTCAAATTTTCCAATTCGGACATAAACATCGATTATGTGTAAAAAAAACAAATGGAAAGAAATTACAATTTCCATTTTTAAGACTTTACAGTTTCCAATTATATATATATATATATATATATATATATATATGTCACGGATGGATTGGATTTTAAAGTCCACGTGTTTGATTTGGATTCTTCTCAGAATATAAACAAAGACAAAACACAAGATTCTCTTATATATGTTGGAATATATATTTGAACTTACAAGTAAAACAACATTTACTATATGTATGTTTAAGTGTTTATATATAATTAAATCACATGTATACAATTTTGTTGAGTAATCGAGTTTACAGACAGAATAATCTTTGGATGGTAGCCTACCATTTGATTTGTAATATATATCTTTCTCCAAATTTGTGATTCGAACGAAACTGCCCTTACAACATCAATACGAGATCTTTTAGTGTGTTTTACCTTCACTCATACGTATAGCGATAAATATTTCACAATAAATCATCCATCATTAAATTGTTCCACATCGAATACGCTTAATTTTGGAGTTTTCTCGCGATAGACAACCGAGAAGGTAATTAGTGCACCTTATTGATATGAATAATTCAATTAATTCTTTTAAGTTATTTTAGGCCATACAGTTCCATACCTACACAACCCTCAGATCTCTCTCATTTCGATGCGTTCGTTTCATTTCCATATCCCTCTAACCTATCGGTATTCGGAGAACCTCTCTTTATCCGTACCACTTGTAATGTCGATCATTTACAAGTCTAATTATGACTTGAGATATCATATAGGACGAGACAGAAGCTTTGGCCTCATTTCACCAGTGGAACTAAACAAATTTGGGTAATATGACATGCAAATTATTTGACATGCAACTTTCTTTACGAGTTTAGTTATAGTTGTATAAACCGAAATAGGAATCTTTGTTACATTTTATAACTCTATATATCGCTTTGCTAAGGTTTGAACTTGAAACTGGTTCATACAAGCTAATCTTTCTGTTGATTTAATATTTAAATGGTTTTCAAGAAAATGCTCGAATCAATTTATTAGAAATCACATTAAAATTATGGAATTAAAGTATTATATATCCCCGTTAAATAACTTAATTAACGATTCAAAGTCGTAAGCAATTTGAGCTTTATTCAAAGTTAGGCAAAGATTATGTTTGTCTAATCGTAGAAAATCACGTAGATTAATTTGTCATTTATGTAGGGCAAGTGAGTCCACCACATTCAAACCCACTACTAATTAACTTTATTTTGTGTGAAATCTAAATATAATATAAATTAAGTATATTTAACTCTATTAGAATCTGATCTCGTGTTTCAACTAGGACGAATTTTCATTTATTTATTAAATTAATATAACAAAATTAATGAAAATATATTTACGTGGAATGAACAAACTCGAAATTCTATTTGAAGAGATAAATCAATATTACTTTAGTTGGTAACGGAAAGCACATAACACGGATGAATGCATGCATGAACAATTTCTTCAAGGATTAGTCTTGACGTGAATCTATTTAGGGCTAAATAAATCTATGTATTTTTTTCTCTAACTGAAAACGAAAGTTGATAAATCGTTATCTAAATTGACATTTCTGTAAATAATATAAGAGGAAATGAGTGAAAATAGTTCGAAAATGATTTAAAAAATACATCTATGATTTTTAGTATTAAATAGATTTATATAAAAAAGATAAAAGCTATAATTGAAAAAGAGGGACATAAAAATATTATATAGTTTTTTAGAATCTTATAAAACAGAATAAAAAGATTTTTTTGAAAAATGAAAAGCTAATTTTCACGTAGACAAAAATATATTTTTGGTAATATATGCTCAGATATATAATCAGCTTTTAGAAAAATACTTGAATGCGTGATATGCTTTTAATTTTTCTATGAACCATTTAGCTGTTGCACTGATCGATTCATAGTAAATTTTGTCAAACTTTCTAATGTCGACTAAGTATTATCAAACATGTTGATCGTTTATCTTTTTATATATAAATCGAATAAAACTTTATCTTATATGGATAAATTATATATATATATATAAAAGCAGGTCAGAAGACTCCAAATGTGTATCCCCAGCTTTGTTCAAAGCCAAATGGAATTTTCCTACCAAATTCGGAGAAATCATTGCTGTCTGAGCAATTGGATGTTTGAAAAGTAAGCTCTACGCAAGTATTATATCATTTTTATACATATAGATACATAATATTAAATCATAAAATAATAAATAGGTTGATAGAATATGCCATAGTGGAAAATAATGATATAAAACCTTAATGTCCAATGATGATGTAAAATTGTCTTTACTATTTCAAAGGTTGGTCAATAAAATGATTACAAAATGAAATTTGGACGGATAGAATCACTATGCTAAGAACGTTATGTTCACACACGAAACAAGTCTAATATATATATATATATATATGTATATGAAAGGATCTATCTAGTAATTTTATAATATCAGTTTTGAAGTTTAAAGAACGCTAACCGTAATAATATTCATTATCGATTATATCAATTGGATCTTTGCAAAAAATAAAAATAAAAAAAAATCCGATTTTCTAATGATGTTTGGTGTCATATTCGGTTTATAATGCCGATAGGACTGAAAATTTTTTTATTTAAAATTTTTAGTATTATATCATTTTTACCTCAGTTTGGGTGATTTATGGTAAAAAAAAATATACAAAACATGTTTTTATTTCAGGTTTAAATATAAACATGAAAAGTAACATTCATTTAGATCATTTAGATCTGTACGGTTCTCAAGAAGATATAGTTAGACCTTGATGAAATTTTGGATTATAAAAAAAATACATCATTCGTGTAATGTCTATATAGTCACAATTGCCAATAGATCGGTAGATAGATATTATATTTGTATTTTTGTATGTAGAAGTTTTCCATATCGAAATTCATTGAAGATATGCAAATTATTAAGAGAGTTAATCCGATCATACGTATGTATACACATAGCGACATTTTTGTATCATATATATATATATATATATATATATGTACAGGTGCATGGAAGGGCCGAGTTGTGATTGGAGGAAATTTACGAGTGTTGTCTCCTGAATCGACTTTTCCGAGTTTACTTGTCTGAATCACTTCATATGCTCCAAAAAAAAAATACTACAAAAAAATAATAATTTAATGAAAATATAATAATGAATGTTAATCAATTAGTAGATTCAAATAGAATTATAAAAACTTTTCTATAGCTACAAAAAACAATACTAAATTTAGGATATTCAAATAGAATTATAGAAATTTTTTAGTATATTTGTTTGTCAATAATTACTAATATACATATATACATTAAACTGAAATTAACCAAACTATACCGATCTCACGGAAATATGAGATTAGTAAGTAAACATTTGTTTAGTTAGTTTTAACTAAAATTTGACAATTTCATGTTTTTTCGTTGTCAAAGACTTATATACGAATCGAATAATTAGGGTTAAGCTTTATTATCAAATCAAAAGCGGAATTATCCAAGATTTCCACTATGTTAGTTTAACTTTTGATGTGTGGCTTTCTTTGCATGTTATCTACGCTTAAAAGGGATTATACTTCGTAATTACCTACGCTAAAAAGGATTATATTTCGTAATTAAAACATTACGTTAGGTTTTTCGAATAATATATTTTTTGTATTATATATATATATATTATAAATAATCTTTAAAAATAAGCGTCATTTTTTTTGTTATGAAAAAAGACCCATAAATATACAATCTTATGCCACCTCAAACCCCACACCGTTGAAACATTTTGACTTTGGATTTTTCAAATAGTTTCATATTGTAACACGCTTATATATTGACGATAAATAATTATTTAAAATGGTGTTCAAAATTCAAATTCCATCTTCTATGATGAATCCTTTAAACCAAAATTTAAATAAGAGTAACTTCGGTTAGTTACATAAAAAAAGTATCAAAATATGTTTATAATAAAATTGAATTTTCGTATGATATAAAACTCTTAATATTTCGAATAAAATCCAATCAATGATATTTCAAAACGATTGTTTTAGGTCAATTTAGAACAAATTTCATGTAAATTGACGTTTTATTTTCAGCGGGTGTTTAATTTTTCTAGAAAACAAGTTTTTTTTTTTCAAAAGTTTTGAGTTGTTATTCGAATTATTTATATATATGAAATTCTTGTGTGGGAATATATCTTTTATAAAAAAAAAACTTTATATTTTATTGAAGATTTGAAATCATGTACTATTTTACAAATTTAAGAGATGAATAGTTCAATTTTGCATGGGGTTAACTAAATTTGATAAACTCTTCGCCAAATTAAATAGACAATTGCAAAAATATTTTTTTTATAATCCGAAAATTCACCGGGCTTTGATCCGAATATATCTCCCAGAAAATCGGAAAAATTCATGTGAATGCTTCTCTCCAAGTAAGGACTCGAATCCGGGTTTGAAATGAGTTTTGACATCCAATGTTGAATAAAATGGAGATCAAATTATATGGAGCATCAGTTGATAAAACATGTTTTCACATATATGTTCATTCCACGGTTTAAACATTAATTCATAAAATTATGTTGTTATTAGATCGGGTTTTATATATATAGCTAAGCAACCAATTTATTTCTTTAATTAGCTATATGTAAAATATTATATATTAATTTATAATCGTTTAGGTCATGATAGTACTGCTCCAGTTCCTCGTGGAATCACTCCCGTTCACATTTAAATTTCAACAGTTGTGTAATTTCAATTTTATATATATATATATAATATTGTGAAGAGAAAGGAACACAGGTCAACGGGGATTCACCATCATAAAATTTTTAATTTCTTAAGCGTAATTATAAAATATCCTGAAAAATTAAAAGTTGACGAGGGAGCCTCTTTCCTTGACCCTGAAATCGGCTTTGAAGCGATTTTTGTTTTTTGTAAAACTTTTTAAAAAAATTATTATTTAAATAGGATAAATGATATTCCTAGTCCAGTCAGTGGTAAACGCGTCGTCAAGTTGCATGGCCCGTTTCTGTTGCAAGTTGCATTTTACCCAGCCACATTACATACATACATACATACATACATATATATATATAAACACATATATATATATATATATATATACAGAAAAATGTCTTGCTACTAGTAATTAATTACCTCGATATTATCAAATTTTAGATAAAATATTTTTGACCAAAAGGAAGTGAAGTTAGTTAGGTGTTGAATAGAAAACGTTTTCACGGTTTTTGGATTTTAAAAAGTAAAAAAACCGACAGTCAAATTTTTTTTAATTTGGTTTTCCTAAAAACTCGAAAATCTATTTTATAAAAAAAATCAACTAAAAACCAAAAACCATATTTTTCTAGATTTACAAACTTATAAAATTCAAAAACAAAAAACTAACAACTAAAAACCAAAAACCAAAATTGAAGCAAAAAATCCAAAATAAAAACCAATACCATTCAAAACCTTAATTTTGTGCGTACACATATAGGATTTGATTTATATTTAAATACAGAAAAAATTCTAAATAAATATATCAATTCCTTAAAAAATGTCTAAAAAAATACATGAATAGGTTTTAGCAAATAGATGTATTTATTTGGAATTTTTCTTTTATATTTTGTTTCTCGTTTTTTTTACATTTGATTTGAACTTGGTGAATCTATTTACAAAATGTATATCCATATCGCTATTTAGAACAAAGTCTAATTTAGATATGATTATATGTTATCGATTATATATATATTAAAAATTAATTATTTAAACTCTGATGTTTTAATTGATTAAAAATGAAATCGGTGAATTACGGAAATCACCGTGTTTTAATTTTGGATATATATATATATATTTTCAAAACAATATACTAAAAACTAATACGTCATATAACTCGATATCATAGTCCTCATTTGTTTGTTTTTTCTGGTAATCTTGCACTTAAATTCAACTCTTAATCGCTGACCCACTTCTTAGTTATTCATGCATGTTAGTTTAATTACAATTAATAGTTTTTTTTGGGTGAAATGTGAATCTATTTACTCAAAAAATGAGTTACATATCGGTTTGGTAACCGTGAATACAAAAGGAATTAGTACTTTCATGAGATTGTTTTTACAATTAATAGTTGTTCAACTGTTTGATATAATCGGGTTCAGATCTTAGGTTTTGTTTTGGATGAAATAATAATTGCTATAAAATATGTACATTTATTCATTAATAAGCCTATTGATAATATAATATAAAGTATAAACACTTAAATTTATGAAAGTGCTCCACTTTGTAAACAAAGTTTTATGGATATGGTGTTTGATGACCCACTAGAGAGAGAGAGAACGCGGCTGGCCTACACAGAGACATGAAATCTAAACGTGTTGAATTATTATTATTATATATATATATATATATATAATCATGAGTTGGATAATATAATGCAATACATTTTCCAATATAGTGAATGTCATGTTGTTTGCTTTCAGACATGCTCGTGCCTCGTGCGTTGCCCGACGACTTAGTTTTACTTCCAAATTTTACCGCGATACAAAATCTACATTCGTCAATACTTTAATATAAGTGTGTATATATATATATATATTTAAATATGTATGAATACACTTGTATATTTATTTAAATGAAAGTCTGTGTGAAACAATCGTATTCTAACATGGGAATTAAAAATTATTTACTTTTTGACGACGGTGCCCAATAACCAACCAAATCGACAAATCTCTCTCTCTCTCTCTCTCTCTCTCTCTCTCTCTCTCTCTCTCTCTCTCTCTCTCTCTCTCACACACACTCTCTCTCTCTTTCTC